AATTTATAGGCATATCTAAAGTTTAGAATCCTATACAAAGTATAAATCATATTTTTAGGTATATTACTACTAAAAGCGAATCACATTTCATTTAAAGAATACTTAATTTTTTTTGCTTTTTCCTTATTGCTTAAACTGCTGTTGAACATAATATAATGCACAACTGTCTAATCTAACAGGTACTGCCAGATGGACAGGCGGAAAGACAGATGAATAGATAAACTAAAAAGTGAATGAATTCCGACAAAATGAATAAAAACTTTAGGAATTTTAAATTTGAAAAGAAAAATGTAGATTTTACGAAATCGAATACCTGAATTGCTAATCTGTTTGTATATTGCACCTTTGATCAACTGATTTATCACTTTTAAACATATCATAAATGCCAGTTCAATGTGAAATTTGAAAAATGTAAATTTTAAGAAATATCAACAAGAAAAATTATAATACTTACTTGCTTAAATTGTTCTTCATATGACCAGTTCTGTTGTCCACTGGCATCCGAATCCGCATTATCATCACCGGTACTTCCGCCGGCTCCCACTTCACATTCTTTCTTTTCTCTACGAAAGCTTAAATTCAAAAAAAATTCATATCCATCTTTGGTTTTGGAAAACGCTATACTTTCAAAAAATTTCATTCAAAAGAGATTTAGGGAAAAAAGGAAATGAAAGGAATTTAATAAATTGTTCATTACGTTATTGAATAGATTAGTTTCAATAAAATTTATACAGAAATGAATAATAAAAGAAAAAAGAAATCAGCACAAATTTTACTTAATAGTCAAATCTTCTGGCTCGGTGCTTGCCAGCCCTTCGTTCTCGTCCTCATCATCAAGGCCAGGCGATATACCGGAACTTCTCGGATTACTACTAGCCGCCGTGAACTGATTGTGCAACGTTAAGGGATTTTGTTGGAGAGCAGCCAAAAATGGCGGAAAAACATTGATTGGAAATGTTGATCGAAATCTGAGATCTATAAGTACCAAAACTTGCTAGGTGCAACTAACTTTCAAAGTTAAATTTTAAAAACACTGAAAAATGAAATAGTCTCAAATAATGGAAGCTATTTTTATTGTCAAATATGAAAAAATGAAAAAGTAAATTTAAAGAAAAAAATTAAAAATCAATGAGATGTAAATTTGTTTTGAAAATAGACTAAACGAATTTAAAGATTGGGCTATTCAAACTTAATGAAATTTTAATGTCATCAGGAAATTTTTTAAAGAAATATAATTGAATTGTACCGTTTAATGAGGAAGTAAACCTTTGAAAGGCTTTTTGTTGAACTTCAAGCTCACGTTCTAACATTGAATTTGCGTCATCATCAATTACAGGTGAATTTCCATCCTTAATCTAAACTTCCCAAAAAATTATGAAAAAAAAATCTCGAAATCCTTGTTTTTAATACCATAATTAAATTAAATGATTTTCCAAATAAAGTTAATTTTAATCAACAAATTGTTGAGAAAATGGAAAATTTAGATTGCAAGAATGTTCACTTGAGCAAAGAAGATTGAAATTTGATTTTAGAGTTCAAGGAAGATGTAAAGATTGAAAATATTCTTTGGTGATTTTGCTAATTAACTAATCAGAATTTGATAATAATTTGAAGACTTATTAGATAGACAGACATTATAATTGTTGTTTTGGAGTAAGATTATTTGATTTCATGGTATTCCATTTTTTTTTGTCGATAATAAAAAAATAGCTTGAATAATTACATCGTTATTTTTTGAAGCATTTAGAATAGTCGATAGATTGGCAGTTAAGTCAGATTGTAGGACACCGGATTGTTCCGATACATTCTGTAATGGTGGAGTTGATGAGGCGCTACAGGATAATTGCATCTGTAATGCATGTTGTGATTGTTCCAAAGGTTTATCAGTGTTTAGATCACCTCCTGATGCTGATGATACTGATACCGGTGTTGTTTCCATTGCTATCGACATATCGAAGCATTCAAATTATTCAGCCTGAAAATTTCACAATATCATAGTTATTGAAAATTTTTTAATAATTTTTTTTATCACAATATTTGATATTCCCGAAAATTTAAAATGCAATTACTCCAAAGTGATAATTGTGATTAAGAAGAAAAAAAGATTGAGCAAACATATTAAAGCATGTTATTTTCAAATGATCTTTACAGAATAGTTGTAGTTTTTCAGACTATTTTTTAAATGAAATATAATCTCATAAAGATTGATAATACAGTATGCTACAACGATAAATACTAAAAGCGAGCTAATAGTGATCATTATTTCAAATTTTTCACACTCTGGAAAGTAATCCGGAAAACCAAACCTTAACTGAAAATGATAGGAGTGAGTAATGAGTCGATGATCTGATCTTCGGAGTGATAATAGTGATTGTAGTATTGAGGGGAGGAGATAGAAGGATGAATGGATGGAGCGATCAACGGATTGAGCGTAATGTTGTGTGAAGCATATGATTGGTGGTTGGATGGAGAAGTGACTCAGGGAGGAGCTTCGCTTTAACAACCAAATTGAGCCACCCGCTGATAGACAGATAAAAACTTGCGGAAGATGAGTGAGAACGATGAAGATTATGATTGTGATAATGATTATGACTCAATTACGATAATGATGATAAAAATTACAGTGAAGGAGGTCACGATTATTCTGATAATGGCTATGATAATAATAACAAGTACAATAACGATAGTTTATTTTCAAAACTTCCAACTAAATTGTAAATA